TTTGAACTCTCAGTAATGACTTTAAATCACACTGAACTGAGCTAAACTGAACTGAACTGAACTTAAACACTAAAAACTGAACTAAACTGTTCCAGTTACTATGACCATTTATGTGAAGCTGCTTTGACACAATCTACATTGTAAAAGCGCTATACAAATACAGCTGAATTGAATAGAATTGAATTAATTTATTAAATTTGCATAAATATTTTTGTTAAATTGCCATAAATTTTAATATTAACAACTATTTTATAAGTAAAAATTAAAAATTGGTTAATGTTAGTTACTTGCTAACATGAACTAATACCAGACAATGGTGCAGCATTTATTAATCATAGTTCAGCATTTACTAATGTGTTATTAAATGAACTGTAATGAACTTTATTTTAATGTAAAAAAAAAACTGTACAAACAATGTAATAAATGTATTGTTCATCATTTAGTCATGCTAGTAAATACATTCATTAAACATCGACTAATAAAACCCTACTCTAAAATGTACAAACTTGTCAGTTCTAACAATATTTGGATATTAAATATGACAAGATTATTCAAATGTTACTTTATTAAATCAACAAACCATTTTGTTAAATGTGTGATAATAAACGTTTGATAATATAACAAATACATTTATATTATTTTAATACAGAAATCAGTTATTATTAATATACAACGTTAATAATTTCATTTTTCAATTACTTTTTAATAACCAGGTTGACTCCTGATGATTGACACAGACAATTACAGTCAACACTAAAGTTCCCAGTTGATTGATGCATTCCTTCATGTTAACACTTGAGTCTCTCATAGAGAAGGGCAGGACCTTTTGATTCTAATACGGGTTATCTCTCTATATATATATTCACAACACTGGAATTCGGCTTGAGGCGCTGAAGTCGTATGTCTCTCTCTCTTTCTGTGTAGCATTTGTGAAATATAATGTCATAAATTACAATACAAACCTGACACAAGTTGAAACTTGACCCGAAAGCTCTCAGCGCATGTTTTACATCCCAAAAGCATCTTCATCTGTTTTTGAAGTATCCGCTCATCTAAGATTGTAATCAGTGTTCTTCTTCTCCACATGAAAAAGGATCTAGAAAGTATAGAGTTGTTTTGGGTGATATTCAACATCTTCACATCGTCATATCCTTTCCCTGTGAGATCGCTGATACACAGTACATAGTCATCAACAATGTCACATTTGTATTTGATAAAATCTAACACAGTGTTGCGCTTGGGATATGTGTTTATTGTTTTCTGATAAGAGAAATAGTTTCATTTTAGACAGGCAATGCTGACTTGGCTTTTTAAACTGTAGGCCTATACTAAACTATTCACTGAGCTCAGTAAAATGTTCTTTGATAAGTTATAATAATCTTAATAATTTTACTGGCTGTGTCAGTTCACCTATTCTTTTTACACTTTTTACAAATGAATGTATAAGTAAGCATTCACAGAATTTTATTTTTAAATACTCTGATGACACAGCCATTTTAAGTTTACTTTATGAGAAGGATGATATTGGGGTTATATATCAGTCAGAAATTAGTCAGTTCATTGATTGGTGTGATAGAAATAAGCTTAAAATAAATACTAAGAAAACAGAAGAGATGTTATTTGACCCAAAGTGCATAGGTGACCATTGTCAAGTGGTTGTACATGATGATCCTATTACTCAGTCAGATACCTATAAGTACTTGGGCATTCATATAGACAGTTCTTTCACATGGAAAACACACATTGATTGGGTTTGTTCTCGTTTACGCCAGAGATTGTATTTTTTACGGAGGTTGCGTCTTTTTGGAGTCAACAAGAAGCTCATGATGCTGTTTTATAAAGCAGTTCTTGAAAGCATTGTCAGGTATGGCATTACAGTGTGGTTTGGCAACCTTTCTGTTTAGTGTAAATCTAAACTGATGCATCTCTTAAAGACAGCATGGAAAATTGTCGGGCACAATGAAAATTTTAATCCTCAAGTTTTATATGAGAACTGTGTCCTCAATCAGGTGGATAGGATTGTAAAGGATCCAACTCATTTTTTGTTTCCCCAGTACGAACTGCTTCCCTCTGGTAGAAGATATAGAGTCCCAAAGTGTAGGTTAAACCGTTACAAGAAATCCTTTGTACCTGTGTCAGTGGGTTTACTTAATAAGAGTATATCTTAATTGGCACCATAAATTTTGTAATTGTTGTATTTTCTACTGTTTTTTATTGCTTGTTTTAGTGAGTGTCTGCAGCAATATGGCGATGCCCAAAACAAATCTCCTGTCAAGGACAATAAAGTTTTACTACTACTACTACTACTACTACTACTATTAATCTGCTCAATAATTTGTTAAAGCCAAAACGAATGGTAAAATGCAGGTTATGGGGTAGTTTAAATAAATCAATAAAATATATTTTAATAGCCTATATAAATAAATTCAGGCCTAACATATTTGTAAATTAAATAAATACGTTATTGCTGTGGCTGTGTATAGTGCCCTCATGTGCAGCGCGAGCCTGATCTCATGAGGAAACGTAAGTATTTTACGTTTTTACAGTTTAGTGGCTAATTCGTACAAATTGGTACGAGTTCAGTCAGATGCAAATGTACGATTTTAAAAAGGAGGCGTGGCACCTAACACCACCCCTAACCCCAACCGTCATTGGGTGATGAGCAAATCGTACTTAATTGTACAAATTAGATCGTACAAATTCATACGAATTAACCACTAAATCAAAAAGTTACGAATTGCCGTGAGATTTTGTTGGCAGCGTGAGTCAACTGCTGCTGAGAGAAAGTGCTAGACAGCAAAGGAAATAATACATTTTTTGCATGTTGATTTATGTAAAATTGTGAATACATGTCTATAATCGCCCTGCAATAAAAAAAAAATCAATTCAATTCAATTCAGCTTTATTTGTATAGCACTTTTACAATGTAGATTGTGTCAAAGCAGCTTCACATAAATGGTCATAGTAACTGGAACAGTGTGGTTCAGGTTTTAGTGTTTAAGTTCAGTTCAGTTCAGTTTAGCTCTGCAGTTCAGTGTGATTTAATCATTACTGAGAGTTCAAACACTGAAGAGCAAATTCATCGATGCGTAGCTCTACCAATCCTGAACCATGCGAGGCAGTGGCGACAGCGGAGAGGGAAAAAAAACTTCACCTGATGGGAGTGAAGAAAAAAAACCTTGAGAGAACCAGACTCAGTTGGGCACGACCATTTTAATTTCTCCGCTGGCCAAAGTCTTGTGCAGAACTTCATTCGTCGTGGTTTAGGCTGGAAGATGGCCTCAGCGAAGACTCGTCTGTCCCTGGAGCGTCGCTGGAATCAGACTCATGTTCTCCACTCCCCACGACCATCAGCGCAGCAGCAGCTCAGGATATGGCTTGGTCCCGGATATGGAATCCTTGGGATCATCACGTCGCTGGTCTTGGATCCAATCAGTGACTCCGCATAATCTGAGGACCTCGGGATGAGTATCCCCAGGTGAAAATAGAGAATAAAGAAAATAATTAGCGTAGCTGCTGTTCATAGTGTATATAAGCAAGATGCAGAAGCCAGTGTGGAAACCGCTAGGTGATGCATTGAGTGTATGCTTTACTAAACAGATAGGTCTTTAATCTAGTTTTGAACTCGGAGAGTGTGTCTGAGCCTCGGACGTTATCAGGAAGGCTATTCCAGAGTGTAGGAGCCATGAAAGAGAAGGCTCGACCTCCTTTACTTGATTTTGCTATTCTAGGTACTACCAGAAGCCCTGAATTTTGAGATCTTAAAGAGCGAGTTGGTTTGTAGCGAGACAGAAGGTTGGTTAGATAAACAGGAGCTAGATTATTTAGAGCTTTATAGGTGAGAAGTAATATTTTAAATTCAATACAAAAACTTAACAGGCAGCCAGTGTAAGGAGGATAAAATTGGGGTTATATGATCATATTTTCTAGACCTGGTCAGAACTCTGGCTGCTGCATTTTGTACAAAATATTGTATTTTGTCCTTTGAGTAGACTAGTCTAATTTTCAGTTCATGCTAAAGATGTATGTTGCTGCAGTCTGAAAGTGTCAAGTGATCAAGTGATGTTGATGTGAACAGCTGTAAAAAATCCAACTTGCAAATTGCTAACTCAAATCAAAATTGTAAGTTGGGTGGACATATTTTGAGCTCAGTGTTGAGTTTACTTTTAAAAATGAGTTAACTGAAGGTTTAAAACTGGTTTGTTCAATGAAAGTAAATACTTAAGTTGAGCAGACTTTACATTTTGAGTTCTTCACTGGATCATCTACTTCCCGTCTTTGCACATGCTCAGTCTGTCTTCGGGTGCCATTTTGCACGAGGTGTCCTCTCACCAGCAGCAGCTGCCATCTCCTGATTCAGGTAAGCTTTGTTTTAGCTTTATTATCCAAATTAATCTAAATAGCGTCCAAATCTAAAGTAAAATGTAATGTTATGTTCCCAAAAAACTAAGTTACATTGTGTGAAGATCATTTTTTGACAAGCTCGGGCTAACAAGCTAGCCACCTGTGAAGTTTGCTTCATTTGAAGGACTGTTTAATGTTAATTTGCTTCTTAAACTGGAGGGAAATGTAGTGAAATATTGTTGTTGCAAACAGACATATCTGAGCGGCCGGTCACCACTGTATTGTTAACCCTGTTGTGTCTGTATTAAAACAGCAATGCGATAACATTAAAACCACTTCAAAATAATATTTAGCATACCACTTTAAATATACAGTCACTAGTAGTGTACATATAGTATTCCAGGAGCTTGTGGTTTTTATGATTATTTATTTGGCATAAATTAACCATTTATGAGTTAAGTAACATGTATGTATGCATTAATTAAATCTTCTCTTTTTATGTTTGCAATATTTATTTTATATTGTGCTTTTTAAAAACATCAGTTTAATTTATGAAAACAATTTGACCTGCAATGTTACATTTGTATTTACTTTTTTATAGGTTTGGAATGCAGTGTAAGTTTTGCAAATTTGTAAACAGTAGCTGAGAAGTTACACTACAGACTACATCGCTATCAAGGAGCATCCTGGCAGCAGCCTTGTTTGTTCGCAGACTGCTTCTGCACTTTAAAGACTGTAGGTGCATTAAAATCACATTTGACATTAGCACATTAACAGTCTGCTGCAGTTACTGACTATTTGATTTTTTAACCTCCTGTAGCTGATGTCCGAAAACAGTGGCCTGCATGTTTTTGGGAGTTTAGGCAAGTTTGCATTTGAGATTATTTATTTCAAAATGTATAACCCTTGTTCACAATTCATACTATTCATTTTTTTATGGTCTGTTTGTAGGTCTATGCTGAGGTTTACAGGATTACTCAAACCAACCTCAAAGATACCTTCTCTTTTTCGGATGAATACGCTATCAAGTTTTATGGATCATGTGGTGGGCGATATGGAGAGATAATAAGGACCGCCCTGGACCAACTGGACAATCAAGTAATTATTTAGCATTCAATCATATTACTGATTAAAGGGGGGCATATTAAACTTTATGGAGTTTACCATGGAGTTTCTCTTTTTGTGTGCAATATTGGAATTCATGCAGGTAATTAATCTTTAAAGTTACAAAACAGTTTGTTCCCTAAAAGAAAAGTTTGTAGCACTGTTTTCACCTCTGTAAAGGATGCTACATTTTCATCACTTAGTCTTTAGTAGAACAACCATGACTGAGTCCGGCTGACCAGGGAGTGAAAGCAGGTGCTGCAACAATAATTATAAAGCAAATTTCATTTTTAATAATTAAAACATGTTGGGAATTTCTGATCAAAATGACTAACCTGTGAATAACCATAATTAATGCCCTTCAATTGTAAAGTGGTGCCACCTGTCATCTCTCAGGGTCTGAGCATCTGGTTTAATGTGACAATAGCTAATGACCTATGGCAAGCCGTTTTAACTTTTATTCTATAGCCCGTACTAGTATCTATTGTCTTGTTACTAGTACTTATATTTTAGATACTAGTATCTTTTCCATTAAGTACTAGTACTTATTTATTAGATACTAGTACTTATTTATTAGTTACTAGTACTTATTTATTAGATACTAGTACTTATTTATTAGTTACTAGTACTTATTTATTAGATACTAGTACTTATTTATTAGTTACTAGTACTTATTTATTAGATACTAGTACTTATTTATTAGATACTAGTACTTATTTATTAGATACTAGTACTTATTTATTAGATACTAGTACTTATTTATTAGTTACTAGTACTTATTTATTAGATACTAGTACTTATTTATTAGTTACTAGTACTTATTTATTAGATACTAGTACGTATTAAATAGATACTAGTACTTATTTATTAGATACTAGTACTTATTTATTAGATACTAGTACTTATTTATTAGATACTAGTACTTATTTATTAGATACTAGTACTTATTTATTAGATACTAGTACTTATTTATTAGATACTATTACTTATTTATTAGATACTAGTACTTATTTATTAGATACTAGTCTTATTTATTAGTTACTAGTACTTATTTTAATAGTGACTAGTAACTATTCTGTTGTTACTCGTAATGAATTAAAAATTTTCCCATTCATTTCTATGGGATCTCTAATTGAGATATCAACTATTCAGTTTTGACTAGTATGTATTCCAGCTGTGACTAGTGCATATTTTTATCTACTAGTAGTTAATTATTAGGTACTAGTACCTATTACTGAGATGCTACTACCTAATTAATAGATACTAGTACTTATGTATTAGATACTAGTCCTTATTCATGTAGAGTTGATGCTTAACGGATAATCAATTCACTATTTGCTAATGCTTAATAAATGATTCATTATTATAAAAGTGTTACCTGAAAAGTTTTATAAATAGAAGGTATATAAATGACTGTGTTACTGACATTACTACCTTCAGTTTCCAAATTAAGTTGCTTTGCCTTTGCTTTTTTTTACCTTGCTTTTTGGAGATGTTTGTGATTTAGCCATAGACTGTAAAATATATGGACGTAGTATCCGTGACGTCACCCATTGGTTTCTGAAGAGCGCAAAAGAAGCCACAAGTAGGCGCGGCCAACCGTCGCCATTTTGGTCACGCGTCATCACACCCACGGCGGGATACCAAACAAGGGCAAAGAGGCGGAGAGTGAGCGGAGCTACAGACACCTGCTAGCATTTAGCTTGGACCTGGCAGACACATTTTACTTTGGGAGAACGCTTAATACTTTATCACCTGCGACTCGTTTGTGTTCTGACCACTTGTGCTTGGTTGTACACTATATCAATAAAGTGTTTAGACTTTTAAAAACACTGCTGAGCCACTAAACATTGTTCTTATGACGTTTTTCAACAGGAGGAAAACGCGAATTACTTACAAACACTTCAGATATAGTCTGTGTTAGTTAATGTAAGACTAATGATGAAATCCAGCATAACACTGTATGACAACACTTCAGATGACTGTTCTAGAGCCTACAGCTAATCAATCTGACAGATTCTGGAGTGCATTACAGCTCTAAATATAAACGATAAATGATCTTAAATAAAACAAATACATGTACAGAGATGGTATATAAGTATATAACTTTACTCACATGGGAAACGGAGGCCACGTGAATGATTTGTGAGCACAATTAAGTGCCCTCAGCATGCCATGCCATCTAATAATTGTGGGAAACAAGTCCAAAAGGCAGTCGACTGTGTAAAGCCACATAAAACAACACAGAAATACGATAAATATGCCGAGTTCAGTGGCTAATCTGCAGGATTCAGCTGAGGTGACGTGACGGAGACCGGCGAGACCTAGCTGTCAATCAAGTGGCCACGCCCTTAATTATGCAAACTTAATATAACTTAATATAAAGGAAACGGATGAGTTATAAAAAAATTCACCCCCTCACAGTTGTCATGAAGGGTAATATTACCTGTATTAACCAAAATCTTATTTTGTACCAGGCTGTAAACACCTTTTTTTCTGCTGTAAAGTTGGCCATTCTAATAGTGGGCTCAATTGAAATTTGCTCTGTTTTGGAGCCAGGAGCGGCCAGGACTAGCGGAATTTCAGATGAATTGCAGTTTTAGTTACTTCCGTATTGGCTTCCTGAGGGAGAGCGGGAGGTTGCCGCTTGGATTTAGCAGTAAAAATAGTTTTTCATCCTCTTTTTATGTTTCTTTTTACTGCAGGACACAGAGCCAGAAGATATTTGCACAAAAGAGATGGAGATGGACATCCTTAGCACTGTTGAAGATGATGTTGCCACTCTTCAGACCAACCTAAATGTAAGGTGCCTGTCTGTGGTTCTGGAAGAGCAAATCGTGCTGGAAAAGATCTTCCGACAGCTGTTGTTCTCCTCTTTGGTTTGATTAATTTCCTCATTATGAACTACCCCAAAGAACTGAAACACATCTTTGAAACTATTCAGAAAGTGTTTATTGGCCTTGATCCTCAGTGCTCAGCAAGAGTCCAGTCTTTCAAAAACAAAATGCATTTGTTTGTACACTGAAATTGTGTTACTCTTGGTGTTGTCACGAAACTTAAATTCAGTTTTGATTTTACATTTTCAAATTTTAAAAACATCCATTTCCCACCAATTGATAGATTGGCTGTTGTGTTCAAGAGCTCAACATAAATGACTGTGATTGGCTGAGAAGTTCACCATTTCACTGCTCTTCACTGATGTTCATGGAGTGCAAACACAGATACACACACACACACACACACACACACACACACACAAACTGGAGTGTTTCAAAACGTCGCATAGTTGATCCATCAGCGTAACACTTGTGTCAGCTTATACACAGACCAGTTGATCAATGTGAAATTCTTAAGTGTCCCTGTGTCTGTGGTTACACTCAGTAAACAGCAGTGAGTTTGGTGAACTGATGATCTTCACGCCCAATCAGTCTTTTCTGTTGAGCATGTGAACACAATGGCAATATAACAGTGTTTAAAACATGGTCAACAACGCTCAAATGTTAGCAGGAAATGGACGTTTTTAAAATTATAGAACTGATGGGTAACAAAATTAAAATATCGTGACAAAACTAATTACTCTTTGTTACGATAACCAGCGATCATTCTCTGGAGATCGCTGGTTTCCTCTATCATCATTCACTTCACTTCCCCATTCCCTAGGACTACATTTTCATACATGCACTTCTCCCAATCACGCACGCCTGGTCATTCATCTTCCTGATTACATCACCAGCTGAAACCTGTCACAGACTGAGATTTCACACAGTATTTAAGCAGCACACAGACTGATTCACTTTGCCAAGTCTTGTTTACTGTTTGGTGACATTTCTACGCGTTTCTCCCTGTCTTGTTTCTCCGTGTCTGAATCTAGCATTGTATCCTATGTATCCTGTGTAGCCGCCTGCCTTTCGACCTTTTGCCTGTTTACTGACTTCGACTCTGGATTTGCCCGCATATGCCTGTTCATACCTGTTTTGACTATTGCTTGCCTGACCATCGATTAAACCTGCATTTGGATCTTACCTTCAGTTGTTTGTATCAATTCCATTCACAACACTCTTGCACTTTAAATAATGTTGATAGTGCAAGCATTTTAAATATTTCTTTTGCTTAACTCGAGCACTTAAAAGGCAATATAGGATTTGAGGATTTACCCTTTTGTTGCCTCTTTTCCTTCTCTGGACTGCAGTACATTTCATTTGGACAGAAAGCTGTTTGCAGAATTGTCAATAAATATATTCTTTGATATTGTGTTTTATAGTGTGTTTTGTAATCTCTTAACTTCATACTTAGAGTCATACAGGTATTTGTTTGAGAAGCGCAGATATAAGATTTCCATCAAATTATGAATTAAAAGATAAAGATTAAATCAACTTAAAAAATGAAGGCAACCAGCTGCACAGCTTTGAGTTAACTGAACTTCTGTTAAGTTGTGCCAACTCATTTCTTACAGTTTACTCAACCCCTGTTTAATTTTAGGCAAACTCATAATGACGAGTTAGATGAACTTAGGCTTGAAAGTTGTCGTGACTTAAACCAGCCATTTCAGTCAACTTAAAAAAATAATTTGGCACAACTTCAACCACTGAAGTTGAGTAAACTCAAAATTTCTTTGCAGCCGGTTGCTTTAAAATTTTAAGTTTACTCAACTTTTTATTTTTTACAGTGTGTCAAATAATTTTTTAATTCATTATTTGTATCCTTTTGTTATTAATAATGATGATTAAAAATAATACTATTAATTTTATTCACCAATGTAATTGAAACATGTAATGGGTCTACATTAACAGGAAACGAGCTAAATATTGTCTTTAAAATCGTCATAGGTCTCAGCTGTCAGCGATATCTTTGCCCGATACTGTCTATTGGCGCACAACCCTAGTATAAAGCTGTAGAAATACAGTATAAATGTGTAACACTGTGTAACAAATATTATTTTATGCTAGCTAGTGCTATGCCAGCCTGATCTAATGAGGAAACGTAAGTATTTTACATTTTGCTATTTTAGTGGCTAATTTGTACGAATTCATATGAGTTCAGTCGTTCGAAAATGTACGATTTTTAAAAGGAGGCGTGGCACCTAACCCCAACCGTCATTGGGCGATCAGCAAATCGTAGCAAATTCTACGAATTAGATCGTACGAATTAGCCACTAAATCAAAAAGTTACGAATTGCCGTGAGATCGTGTTGGCTATGCTACTAACATAGACATAAATAAAACACAATGTGTGCTGTGTAATTCAATAAGTAAAATGATTAATTATGCTGACTTCCAGCCGGAATCATACTCTATTTGCAACACTTTGTGAATGAATCAGTATTAAGCTGACAACCTGTAATACATACTGTAGTATACTCTAGTGTTTACCGCAGTAAATTGTGGTAGTAGAATATATTCTATATTACTTAGGTGTACAAAACAACAGTATTTAGTCGTATGTTATTACTATAGTCGTTGTGTTAACGTGCTGACTATGTTGCTATGGTAATTCAAGTACATATTCACAAACACTAGTATTTACTACAAATTGCTGTAGTATTTCTTCGTGTGGGTTGTCTGCTCGTCATCCATCACCCCGGGCTGCAGACAGGACTGTGTGTGAGGTGAGATTTGAGCCTCCGCAGGTCGAGTTTGTCCTGGGACTGTCATTTCTGTCAGAGTCGGTGTCAGTCTGGCGTTTCTGAGGTAATCGGCGGTAATCACGGGCTGTCAACAAACGTCACAATAACGGCACACTGACAGCGGCCTCCCATTGAGAGACTCGCAGATTAATGAAAAGAAAACAGCGTCGCCCTGTTGGAGTTGCTGTGTGGCGAAACTTCTGTCAGTTTGTTTTTGTTAACACTCTGTCTGCGGCGCCAAAACTGAATCACACCCTTGATAATCAATGAGAGCATCTGTACTTGAAGAGCCAGTTGCTGCACGCCTTATTTCTGCTTATGACGAGAAATATGGTCCGGTTTTAATATTGTGTTTTGTTTGAAACTGAACGATAAATTATGACAAGACTTTCGTTTGTAAGTATAACACTTGGTTGAAGAAAAAAAAATGTATATAATCTTGAAGGTTATATTAAATAACTATATCAAATTTTTTATCAATAAATATCAATGTTTATTGCATGTTTATGTTTAGACTATAGTAGTTTTAAATATACATATATTTTGATCATTGGAGTTTAAAATGTAACGTTTGCATGAAGGAATGAAGATCAATACACGTTCAGACAAAGAAAGAAAGTTTATGTTGGGAAAACAAATGATTTAAAAAACTTTTGGATAATTGAATTAATTATTTAGGCAAAATTGTTGATGTTTGTGGTAAAAAATGATCCTTAAATTGAGTAAAATCATTTATTGTCAAACTACCGCTATCTATCTATCTATCTATCTATCTATCTATCTATCTATCTATCTATCTATCTATCTATCTATCTATCTATCTATCTATCTATCTATCTATCTATATATCTATCTATCTATCTATAAACTGTTTTTATCTATCTATCTATCTATCTATCTATCTATCTATCTATCTATCTATCTATCTATCTATCTATCTATCTATCTATCTATCTATCTATCTATCTATAAACTATTTTTATCTATCTATCTATCTATCTATCTATCTATCTATCTATCTATCTATCTATCTATCTATCTATCTATCTATCTATCTATCTATCTATATATCTATCTATCTATCTATAAACTGTTTTTATCTATCTATCTATCTATCTATCTATCTATCTATCTATCTATCTATCTATCTATCTATCTATCTATCTATCTATCTATCTATCTATCATCTATCTATCTATCTATCTATAAACTATTTTTATCTATCTATCTATCTATCTATCTATCTATCTATCTATCTATCTATCTATCTATCTATCTATCTATCTATCTATCTATCTATCTATAAACTGTTTTATCTATCTATCTATCTATCTATCTATCTATCTATCTATCTATCTATCTATCTATCT